GCAACTGGCCGACTGAGCAGCGTGAGAGTGGTACAGCCGCGAAAGAAGGAGCGGGAAGCACCTGAGTCATGTGTGAAGGTGTGCAAGGCCGTAGCCGGCGCAGTACCTGAGAGAGCAAACTCACCAGTACCTGGAGCAGCAGACTCACTAGCACCTGGAGCGGCAGACTCACTAGCACCTAGAGCAGCAGCCCCAATGCCCGGGTCGGGCGGAACACACAGGTAACAGTCACCCTCAACACTAATAGTCACAGCATACATGGCAGCAAGGATAGCATCATAGTCAAGAGCAAAGATATCAACACCAGACTTAAGCAGATCACCCCAGCGAGGGAGCTCAGTGGCGTCAGGAAACTGTGTGTGCCAGGCGTCAGTCAGACGACCGAAACAGCGCTGCGTCGCGTGTGGCAGCCCGCACGTCTCCCCACTGCGGTCGACAGTGCGGAGAACGTAAGTGCAGGGACCAGCACCCCCAGACCTCCCACGCCCAGCGTACCACTCACGAAGCTGCTGGGGAGACAGAGTCTCACGGGAGCGTGGCTGCTGCTGGCGCTGACCGCCGCCAAAACCTCCACGTTGCGCGGCTCCACCCCGACCACCACCGCCGCCGCCGCCACCTCCACCGCCGCCGCCACCTCCACCGCCGCTGCCACTGCCTCCACCACCTCCACCACCGCCACCGACGCCCCCACTCCCGCCACCACCCCCACCTCCACCCCCACACCCTCCGCCTCCACCACCGCCACTACCGCCTCCTCCGCCGCCCCCGCCACCACCCTTGCCCCCCTTGCCCTTGCCGCCACCCTTGCCGCTGCTGTGCCTCCCACTAGGAGCAGTCGCAGCTCCGACCTCCTCGGTGCCAACGAGGTCGACAGCAGAAGTAGAGGCAACAGAGGGCGAAAGGGGAACGGGGGAACACCCCTCAAAGAAAGGGGCGCGAGGGTCGCCACGAGAAGCACCGACAGCGAATATGCTAAGCTGCTAGGAGGTGCTTCTCGAGGAGGTCGACAGTGAGCGTGGTGGGGCACAGAGAGAGGAAGTGGTCCCTGACTGAGCGAAGAGAGTCAGGTAGACGGGTGACGAGGTAGAAGAGGGTGATGTACATGGGGGGGGGGGTTCTTGGCGCAAAACTCGGTGGGAAGCGCAGGGCGGTAGCGGGTGTCACTAGTGCGGAGGTGAGTGATGAGGTCAGCGACTGTGGGAAAGGCTGCCAGGTCAGAGAACAAGTATGGCAGCATGAGGGGGCTAAGGGCAGCAGTGGCACGGGAGGAGTAGCGCGCGACTACAGCATCATACAGAGACTTAGCAGTCTTGTATTGACCAAGGTGCGCGCGCTCAGCAGACGGCAGGTGACTACGGACAGCAAGGCGAGCAACAGCGTCACGAGTAGTCCACTGCGAGCTAACTGTACTGTCAGCATCGGCAGCAGGTGCAGCAGCGACGCCGGACATGTGATCAAACAGCGAGACTCTGTCCCTAGAGTTGCACTGAAGGTAGAGCTGCAGATCATCGACCCACACGTCGAAATCGACCGCACGACCCTCGGCATCAAAGGTAAGAACATGAGGGCTAGCCATGGCGGTAGTAGCAGCAGCAGTAGCAGAAGCAGTAGAAGCAGCAAAAAGCAGCAGCAGTAACCGCTGTAGCAGTAGGAGCAGGGCAGGCAGGGCAGGGCTGCTCAGTAGGGCAGGGCGACGCGGCTCGGCAGAGCGGCGCGGCTCGGCTGGGCGGCACGGCTCGGCTGCGCGGCTCGGCTGCGCGCATGTCGGGCAGGTGCGCGGGCAGTGCGGGTAGGGCAGGTACTCACCAGGGGCGGGCAGGGCAGGCGCTCGACGGGCGAGCAGTGCCGGCGCTTGGCGGGCGGCGGCAGGGTAGGCGCACGACGGCGGCAGGGCAGGGCCGCGACGTCTGCAGGGCAGGGCCGCGACAGCGGCAAGGCAGGGCCGCGACGACGGCAGGGCAAGGCCGCGACAGCGGTAGGGCAGGGCCGCGACAGCTGCTGCAGGGCAGGGACGCAACTGCGGCCGGGCAGGGCCTCGACGGCGGCAGGGCAGAGCCGCGACGGAGGCTGCAGGCACGACGGCGGCTGCAGAGCAGGGCCGCGACAGCGGCAGCAGGCGCGCGACGGCAGGGCCGCGACGGCAGGCGCTCGACGGGCGGCTGGTAGGGCCGCGACGGCGGCTGGGTGCGCTCGACGGTAGGGCCGCGACGGCAGAGCCGCGGCGACAGGGCAGGCGCAAAGGCGCAGGTGAGGCAGGCGCGAGGCGCGCGACGGGGCAGGCAGGCACGGCGGCGCGCTTCGGGCAGGGCAGGAAAAAAAAAATCTGTGGTGGGCCCTAAAAAAAACATTTCCACTAGGGAACCTGCTCTAAGACCATGTGAAAATAGAACAAGGGGTCAATCGACTAGGAAGCAGATGGGTACAAGTAGGATAACCTAAAACTGTTGTACCCCATATTGTCTACCCCACTACAGCCTACACAGACTATGTCATATAAGTTTGACATGACCTTCTTGCTTACCGACCTTGGTGAGCGGCCGAGCTCTGCACCGACCTTGTTCACTGACAACAAGGAGTCGATTCTCCTCTGGAGAGCAGAGTGAAGCACATCAACGTCAGATACTTTCTTATGCGAGAGTTGCAGAGGCGTGGAGAGGCTCGCTTCGACTTTGTGGAGTCCGAGGCCAACACTGCACACATCTTCACCAAGGCTCTTCCGCCTTGTGACCACCAGAGGTGTTGTGTGTAGTTAGGTCTCGTTGACACAGGTTCTCGCCTTGCGTAGTATTGAGTTCTCAGCTTGCTTTGTTTGTACGTTTTATATATACCTCTGTATTCTCTTGAACTACCCTTGTAGCTCTTTTGCTTGTGCTCGGAGTGTGTGGTGACGTTGTGATCTGCCTTGAGCTTTGTTTCTCTGTGACTAGTCTTGTGACCGTACACTTTGGGTTTTGCTTGACACCCCTCACTTAGACTATGGGGGTGTGTCAAATATTGTAGTCTTAGTGATGTGTGTTATAGGGGGTACAACTGTTAGGGTTAGGTTTATGTACCCCAACCAACCTTAGTCAAACCAACACTTTCATTCATGACAGACATGTCCACGTACGACATTGATGGCCACGAGTACCGCCACTTCGTGTGTCAGGTGGCTCCGCTCCACATACGGTTGCATGTAGTATTGCATCCCCGTTGTAATGTATTCCAAAATTTGCCGGTTAATGCGGAAAATGTCTCTAAACTCTCCGTCGCTCATTCCTTGCATGTCCTCAAGCCACAGATTGAATCCACGAGCGCGCAGACGGTTGCGCCTTTTCCTCGGCCGTCCTGTTGGAGCAAGAGGAGCTAGCGGGAGACGGGGCGTCGATGAAGACATTGCTCTCTACCAGGCCGACTACAGCTTTGGCGACTGCATCCATGAATGTGGAGTAGTAGAAAGTTATCCATGCGATCAGCAGGCGCAGGAGAAATGGCACAGCGCGGGGCTCTGCCATAGTAGGCACTTGTGTATTGATGTTGCTGGAGACATGTTGTAGTATTTGATATAGTGTGAGCAACGTTGTATCTGGTGGTGCATTGTTGCTTTCTGATAGGGAAGCATCGTTTACAAGTTGCGTTACAGTGACCCGGCTCGGCAAACCCGCTTGATGCACTGAAGATTTGTGACTCTGCCCGACGCCAAATAACTCAGGCACTTTCCATATTGGTGCACCCAATGATAAGCCACCAAGTGTTCACTTCGCATGGTCGCTCAGTGTCGCTGTACGTTTACATTTTTGCGACGCGAGGTTGTCCAAATGTGCATGCGTGACTCGGGAAAACAGGGATTAAAGCGACGGGCAACTTTTGGCAGTGTTGGGTTCAGAAGTTTTTTTTTTGAACCAGGCTTGCCAGCGCGAAAGTGCTGGCTGGCGAAAACCAGGATTTCGTGCGGACACTTTCCATCCGCAGTAACAGTTCGCCAGGGTTCTGGGTTTTGGGTGGCAAATGTGCACCGTCGCTTTAAGACCCTAGGGTCGTATATCCGGGGGAATTACGGTATTAACGTATGACAGGCGCATGCGATTTTCTTTTGTTCTACATTAGTAGCGCACTCCCTAAAGAAGGTAATACCAACAGAAATGAAGGTAATATGAAGGTAATACCAACAGAAATGAAATCTGGTGCGTCGTAATTCTTATTGTTAGGGTATTGTTATTCCTACAACAACTAGTAACAATTGTCATTTCTGTCTGCTTGTTAGAGATGTACAGAACATTTGCTGCTTGCCTCGTCGGTGAATCTCGTGAATTCGAGGGGTTTGGGTTCTTTGCATTCGGTCAGAGGTGCTCAAGACTTCAACGGCCTACATACGCTGTATACCCGCCCTGAACCAAGGAAAGGCGCACACAACAGATCCGACGGCGTGGAACACCTGATAACCGCGACGCGGCAGCACTTCCGATTAAGATTGCCTCCTCTGTTCCGACCTTTCAACCGCCTCTATCCCCAGCACCAGCTTGCTACCTCGCGAGAATGATTTGCGAGACTCGTCACGCTTCTTTACTCTTCTCGTTTTCGCGAAGAGCAAGTCGCGGCTTTCGTCGCCATCGCGAAACGAATCTGGCCTTCCGTCACATCCACGCGAGAAGCATTTCTAGAGAATATTCTCAGCCGCGTTTTGAGGCACCAAGCAGTAGCAGTTTCCATTAGTAACCAACAAAGTAGCAGCACCAGTCATGGCACAACGCAAACCACCCTCTATGGCGTTGTTCCGGGTTCGCCGTACCCGTGCCGCATAACTTCGATGTAAACTGGTAAGCCACGCAACGTTGTAAGCAGCTGATTGCCTTTAGTAGCTCCGCGTCAGTCGCATTCCGCGAATTTGCCCATTTCATGCCAGTTAGGGTTTCTGAAGCTGATTGTGGCGGAATTCCCACTTTCTTCATTCATGCCTAACTAATTTCCATTTTAGCGTCGTGGAATCTACGGCATGTTGATTTGACTCGGGAGGCTCGCAGGACTCTCGTGGAAGAACAGACCGAGTCGGTCGCGCTGTGGCCTCCGAGAGAATGTCGACGATCTATATTGCCTTCACCATCTGCGGGATTTTCGCCGTCATATCGGGCCTGCCTTCGCGGACCGCTGTGACGGCGGCATGGTCAGGTACGCATTTCGAACCATGGCTTGTACACGTATCAAGGCATGGCGAGGTACGCGCTATAAAGCATTGTCACATACGCGTCAAGGCATGACGACGTACGCGTTATAAGGCATAATGTCGCGTTTCGAGATACGCACTACTGGCATGGTCAACTTCGCATCTACAAGCTAAAATTAGACCAGCTGATAGATCACAGGCGCCCAAAGATAAATTCGCGACTTTTGATTGCAACAGCTTTAGCTGGCATTTTTTTTTATTCCCCACCCCCACTTCCCCACCCACTTCCCCCAGCGTCAGTGGGGCATCACACAGCAGGCTTGGGACACCACCATCATTATCACGCAACCAGCCCGCACGGCAATTCTTTCAGCCAAGATCCGTCTCAAGACAGTCACATCCAGTACAGCCCCACTACCGCTACAGTCACGACGAACATGACTTACTGCGTCAGGTTGAGTGGGTGCGGCAGCAGCGAGAGGGGGACAGTCAGCCCCCGCCGCTCTTCACTGCTGTCGCTGCCGCTGCTGCGTCAGGCGAATCCTTTCTCCTCGACTTCCCTCTCAGACGGGCTGCTGCTACAAATGCTGCTACAACTGCTGCTACAACTGCTGATACAACTGCTGCTACAACTGCTGATACAACTGCTGCTACAGCTGGTTTCACAACTGCTGCTGCTACAACCGGAGATGCCAGCCTGAAAGCCCACAGGAGGAGGAGGAGGCAGCGAACAGTGATCATCGGACCAGTGTCCCTGCAATGGGTCGCCGCAGGGTACCAGCCGTCTCCGAAGAGCCCGAAAGGCCCCTGCACGGCGCTCAAGAGAGTGTTCATAGTCCGAGTCAAGTCGGCTGCTGACTTCGCCGCCAGGGCCTCTCTCCCGCGCACCACCACCGTCATTCTCTATTTACAGAAAGATTTGTCGCTGCCGCAAGGGGTTCTGTTCCAGCGGCAGCAGTCGTGCACGATACTCATGTCAGCAAAATGGCCCGGTTACACGCTGACGGGTGGTAACCCTATGTATCCGGTGCTGCGCGTGTGGAACACGAGCAACGTGGTGTCGCTAAACGTGAACTACCACCTGCCGGTGACGGAGAGCAGCCCCGAGTGCACCACTGTGCCCGAGCTCGGCAAGGGCGTCACCTGCCCCGCCATCTCCATCCATCGGTCCTACGGCGTGCAGATTGGCAAGGTGACTCCCTTCGTTCTATCTGCTTTTGCGCTCCTTTCGCATGCCGTCCGTCCGTGTCCTCTCCTCTCTGTGCCGCACCGCCACCCTATAGTTTTATCTGTGTCCATTTGGTAAACGTGTTTGTTTGTTTTGTCACATTTTGAGGAAATCGTAACGTAGGAGCTGTTTTCCTTGCTCTCACTCTAATGAGACGTCTTTCACTCGTTCGTCCTTCTCCACCCTCTCCCATCTTGCGTGACAACTTGTCTCCTCCACGGGGCACCATCGCACGAGAGTTGTTCTGTCTGGATGCTTCCATTCCAGTGCGCGTGGTGATGAGGCGATCCAATGGACCAGCATCAGTTCGTCCCATCCCACATGTTTTCATTATTCCTCGTTGACGGATAGGACGTGCGCCACGTGGGAATGCTGCTGGGCTCATTCACGGAGTAGTTTCTCTCCCACATGCCTTCAAGCTCACTCGTGCCTCCACGCTCCTCCCCACGCCACCTACCTCTCTCCCTCGCAGGGCAACATCTTTGGGCGAGTGGACGTGCTTCGCAGCATGGAAGTGCGGCTGGACTCACTCACGGTCACCGGAGTGGCGTCCTTCAACAAGTCGCCTGGAGTGATCCGAGTGGCCCTCAGTGGGTATGGCCCGGGACTGCTCAAATCCAACATTGTGATTTCCAACAATGAGGTGTACGGTGAGTGGGTTTCCCTGAGTAAACCGAAGTCAACGAGAATGAAGGTTAACGGGGTTTATTGTGACTGGGATATCTTCTCGAGCCAAGGAGATTCAACAAGAACCAGTGAGGCATATGGTGAGTGGGAGTGAGCTCTCCCTCAACAGCATTTGTTGCTCCTTCCTTGCCCCCTTACCCCCACTCCCCTCTCCTTGCCCTTTTCTCCATATTCCCCCTTTTGCGATCTTACCTTCACTCTCCCATTTGCCCTTTTATCCTCACTATTCCCTTTCCCTCATGTCCCCACTCTCCCCATTGCCCTCTTATCCCCACTCACTCTCCCCATTGCCCTCGTATCCCCACTCTCCCCATTGCCCTCTTATCCCCACTCCCCTCTTTGCCCTCGTATCCAGAATCTCCCCATTTGTCCATTTCGCCCTCTTCCGCCCTTTTTCCGTTGAATGCAGGGGTGAACACCCCGATCGTCATGCACAAGGGAGCGGTTGGTGTAACCGTCAGGAACAACTACGTCCACAGCTTCATTTTCGCCGGGATTCGGTGCGGCCTGGACACGCTGACTGCATGCTGACACGCATCAACTCCAACCTCGTGGTTGCCGCCGGGAGGAACATGAACGGGGACCATGACGCGGCGGGGATCTACTACTACGTGCACTGGTTCAGCCCGGGCAACTCGGCGCTGTGCAACTACGTGTTCAACGGCGACCACTGCTTCTATCTGGATTATTGCACGTCGGGCGTGCTTGTCAGGGGAGGCGCGTGCGTCAATACGTACGACGGCATGAAAGTGAACAACGGCAAGTGGTGAGGGACCGTGGAGATTCCTTGCTGTGCAATCAACTGTTCAATCGCGCCCTTCATAACTCCCCCATTAGTCCCCTAACCTTGCCTCACCTCAGCAGCCCGCTTTGCCCAGCAACTCTCGTTGTCCCTCTCGTTGCCGCACTGCCATCCACCCCTTCGTCACTGCAGGAACGTGATAGAGAACGTGGCGATGAAGGGCACGCAGGGCTCGCTGGGGTGGACGTCGTGCTTCACAGTGACCGTCAACAACTGCCTCAAAGACCCCGGCAACTACTGGGAGGCCATGCGCGTCAAATACTACAACAGCACCCGCATCAACCAAGTGAGTGAGAGCACAGCTGGTAGTGAGCATGGAGCACATGCCATGGCGTAGCATGCAACATGTGAGACGTCCCAAAAGTACAGAAAGGGACTACTGTGAGGAGCAATGCAAGTGACATACTACAGGAGCGACTGCATCAACCGGGTACATGCGTTCGTGCGTGCTGATAGCTGTACATACTACTGGGCGGCGTCCCTTTGAATATCTACGAGACTGTGCATATGGTGCCCCTGTGGTGGCGGTAAGCCGCGTGCCTCACACACAGCGACCTCGTCAACCCGTTGAGTGAGATTAAAGCAACAGAGTTTCGGCAGTGGTTGAGAGAACAGCAATGGATAAGGCAAGTCGACTATTAATTTGAAGGGAAGCACCACAACTCAGATAGGACCACAAGGGGTGAGTGAGCGTAACACTGTGAGCAAGTGAAGTCACATTTGGTCGCACTTACCAAGTGATCACTCCTCCACCCCTTGTCCCCCCTTGCAGATCATGTCTGCAATGAAAGCTGTTGTGTTCTTTCCCTTGCCTCCCTTCTTCCCTCCCCCATCTACTCCCCCATCCCTCTCTTGTATCCCTCTCCCATCTCCTCTCCCTTTCCCCCCCTCGTAATTGTCACATCCAGCTATGGCCTTGGATGAAGGACGTCTGCAAGGAAACATCAGCCAATGGCGGCGTGCCATGTAACCCGACAGGTCAGCCCGGTGCCGACGTCACGGGAGCATGCAGCGGACTGGGAACCGACAACCTGATCGATGTTGTTGCCGTCAACACCACCGAATACGGCCTCGACTGGAAGCATTGCGAGAATTTCCCCGTTACAGAGAAATTGAATCGGGAGATCAACACTACAATGAGACGGCCTTTTGCTGCGGGTTTCCGGGACTTCAGACAGAATGATTTGGGGCTGACAAATACGTCGGCGATATTGAAGTTTCGGCCAAATTATTTGAGCTGCCCGCTAGGGCTCGCCGGGCCGAGAAAGTTTTCAGAGAAGTCTTTCTATAAGGGCTACAACATCCCGATGCCAGGGGGGTTTCGAAAGGTTGTTACGATGGACATTAAGCATATTATAGATCATGATCTGATCGACCCCTCGGTTAGAGCTCAGATGGTGGCTGCTGGTACTAACAAGCAGGGGTTTCGCTATCAGATGTTTTTGCCTGTTTTTCTGAGTTTCCATACATTCGTTTTTCTGCTAATCTGTTGTTTTTGAAAAAATAGTATTTTTCTAGTAATCTGTTTGACCTGAAATTGTGATTTTGAGTTTATATCTGTTTGACCGTACTATCCGTTTCACCTGAAACCGAGAAGTCATGCACATACCGTATTACCCCGGATATAAGCGCACCTGCGCTTATAATAAAGCAGTGTTTTTTAGGGGGGTGCGCTTATAATTGAGTAAAAAATATAAGCGCATGCGCTTATTAAATGACAAATACAGTTCTATATTCTTACTGCACCAAATTGTACATCTTCTTGCAATTTCAATCGAAGCGCAATGATAGGGGGTCACAACTCAGAATAGTATGCGGGCGATTTTCTGCCGGCGCAAAGGGGCATTTACACGTCATTGCGCAGGAATTCCAGCTCATCCTGACTGGACGCGCAGGATGTAAGGTCCTCGCGAGTCAATCGAACCGAAATTGGTGTGACCTCGCTGCAAATTTGAAATTCGTTACCATTTCAAGCAATTTCAATTTTTAATATATACATGCGCTTATAATAAGTACAGATTTTTCAAGGGGTGCGCTTATAATTGAGGATCGGCCATAAGCGCATTGCTCCAGATACAAGCGCATGCGCCTTTAATAGGCCTGCGCTTATATCCGGGGCCATACGGTAGCCTGATTCGGCGAAGTCACGCCAGTGAAGGCAAGCAACGAACATCACGTCATATACCGTATTTACCCAGGTAATTGACCCCGGAAAAAAAAGGGGGGTGGTGTGGGGCTATCATGTGGGTGTAAATCTAATATACCCTGGGTACAATCCTAGATGTATATATTTTAAAGTCATGTCAAATACCTGCATGTCAAGGGCCTCAGATATCAGGATAATTTATCCTGATTCTCCTGAATTCAGGATAGGTGTCATGTGCCAGTCCTGCAAAAACAGCAAAGCGGAATTGTTTGTCCTATAAAAACAGTATAAGTGTTATTTTGCGTGCTGGAAACTCAGTATAAGGGTTTAGGTTCAGCCCTGATGAGTCAGTGTAGTGTTGAGATGCGTCCTGAAGCGAGTACTGCGCATTTTCGCCCGGGGCCTAGTGTACCCTGCCACCGACCAGGTACAGCGTAAGTTAGGCGTGATTGTCGCCCTGATTTTGTTTGCATGGCTGGCGCAGAACCACGCCGCGCCCACCGTGGAAACCAGCATTGCTGTAATGACGACCAATGACAGTGCGCCGCGCTGACCTCACCACGCGGGAACTGCACGGCCATCTTTGCAGTACGAGGGCATCACGTGCTTCCCTCCTAGCCAGGAAACGCTGTATGTCATCCACCCACACCCGCATGCTCCCACAATCAACAGACATTCACGCGCCACCATGCCTCGCTGGCGCCGCAGAACGTTCTGGATTCAAGCGTGCCTGGCCAGCTCAAGACTGTTTTGTGGCGCCGCGACACCCTTGGTCGAGGCGCCATGTGTATGGGGCTAGTTGGGATGGCAAGGTTCAGGAATCTTTGTGATTCCGTCTCTTCCTCCACTCCATCCTCTCCAGCCTGCTGTTGACTGCCTACCAAACCCCAGGCGGACGACCAAGAAACTGTGTTTTCCCCGTGATTTTGCTAGCTCCTCGACGCCGTATCTCTGATTACAATCGCCCCGTTCTGACCGCCCATGGCTGACCCATCGCCGGCGGGCGATGGTGAAGCACCCGCCATGCCTAACCCTACGGTCTCGCCAGTAGGGCTGACGGGCCTCGATTTATTGCGCACCAGGCCCGTTCAACCGCCGCCACCCCCCACAATAGATAATACCGCTGTCGCACCTGAAACTCTCCCATCGCCGTCTCAGCCGCCCGTGCCTTCTCCCTCGACAGCAGCACCGGTCGTGGTTGATAACGAGCCCCTTCCTCCGCCGATTCGTACGCAAGGTGAATGCTCGAAGGCTGCTGGGACAACCCGAAAAGGACCTCCGAGCAAGAAAGTCTCCGCGAATCGGTACCACCAGACGAAGTTGTCGTTCGTCCGTACATCAGACACCACTGCCGTGCTTTCCGTCTCCAGGCAAGATCCGGAACCCACTGTGCTTGTTGAAACCGCAGCCACTGCTTCCTGTGACACCGAACTTCCCGACATCGCTGAAGAGAAGTACCAGGAAGCTTTGCTAATGTTTAAGAGAAGGTGGCATGAGGACTTCCCGTGGCTTATCATTTGTCAAACCTCCTTTGGATTCCCATCCATGCAGTGTACTGTGTGTATGGATTTTGGAGGCACAGGAACCAACTTCGGGAAAGGCGTGTCAAACATTATATGTGTTCTAGTTTGTAGGCTACAATGGGTTAGCCTCTAGGGAGTACATTGCTCTAGTCTTTTGTACTTGTACTCTCATTCTTGCTAGTCCAACCACACTTGTTCATTCTGACATGGTATCACGAGCCTAGGTTGCTACCTAGGACCGCTTTCTACTACGGGCCCACTATTCCGCTAGAAGCGCCCTCGTGCGCCCTACCTTACGTGCGCCCTCGTGCGCCTTTCTCTGCTCGTGCGCCCTCGTGCGCCCTTTTATTTTTTCTGCTAGTGCGCCCTTGCGCGCCCCGTCCTTCGGTCTGCCCGAGTGCCGTCCTGCAGCCAACTCGCTGCCTCCTGCAAGCTAGTACGGCCCTCGAGCCGCCCCTGCAGGTCCGTCAGGCCCCCGAGCCGCCTCTGCAGACCCGTCAGGCCCCCGAGCCGCCTCTGCAGGCCCGTCAGGCCCGAGAGCCGCCCCTGCAGACCCGTCAGGCCCGCGCGCAGCCTCTGCCCGACCGCGCACCGCCCCTGCAAGCTCTCGCCGCCCGCCACGTCGCCCTGCCCGCGGCGTCGCCGCCTGCCCGCGGCGTCGCCACCTGTCCGCGGCGTCGCCACCTGCCCGCGGCGTCGCCACCTGCCCGCCGCGTCGCCCTGCCCGCGGCGTCGTCACCTGCCCGCGGCATCGCCACCTGTCCGCGGCGTCACCACCTGCCCGCGGCGTCGCCACCTGCCCGTCGCGTTGCCCTGCCCGCGGCGTCGCCCCTGCCCGCCGCGTCGCTCTGCCCGCCGCGTCGCCCCTGCCCGCGGCGTCGCCCCTGCTCGCCGCGTCGCCTTGCCCGCGGCGTCGCCACCTGCCCGCCGCGTCGCCCTGCCCACGGCGTCGCCCCTGCCCGCCGCGTCGCCCTGCCCGCCGCGTCGCCCTGCCCGCCGCTCCTCACTCCTCCTCGTTTCCCCCGACGACTGCTCCCTTGCAGACGCTCCACATGGACGTGTGGGGCCCAGCCCGCGTCCGTGGACAGGGTCAGGAGAGGTACTTCCTGATCGTTGTTGACGACTACTCGCGCTACACCACGGTCTTCCCCTTGCGCACCAAGGGTGAGGTCCCTGATGTTTTGATCCCTTGGATCCGCGCTTCTCGTCTCCAGCTCAGCGAGCGGTTCCACTCGGACTTTCCTGTCTTGCGTCTGCACTCTGACAGAGGTGGTGAGTTCTCCTCCGACCTCTTGGCAGCCTACTGTGCGGAGCACGGCATCCGCCAGACGTTCACGCTTCCGGCCTCTCCACAGCAGAATGGGGTTGCTGAGCGCCGCATTGGCTTGGTCATGGAGGTCGCTCGTACCTCCTTGATCCATGCGGCTGCCCCCCACTTTCTGTGGCCGTTTGCGGTCCGGTACGCTGCGCATCAGCTCAACCTCTGGCCCCGTGTCTCCTTGCCGGAGACCTCGCCCACACTGCTGTGGACGGGGGAGGTTGGCGATGCGTCGCGTTTCCGGGTCTGGGGATCTCGAGCTTTTGTCCGCGATACGTCCGCGGACAAGCTCTCCTCCC